AGAGCGAAGGGGTGGGATGAGGTGAGGTGCTGGGCAGGCTAGTAACAAGTCCAGAGTCATAGAAGTCATCCCCGTCTCCAGCCCCATATGGCCACCCTGGGGCTATATTATCTTTTCTTAAGAGCCCTCAGGCAGGGCATTTGTGCTCAGTCCCTGGCAGTGTGGCTCCACTGGAGTCATAGATTTGAGAAGTAGGGACTGGCATGCTGGGTCAAAAGTGGACATGGACCCACTCTGTTTGGGAGCAGGACAGCAGCTTTCCCTCCCCAAGGTTGGGCAATTTCTTCCCCCAACAGTATATGTGTGAATGGGAGGAGAGAGAATCTCTCCAAGGGGATCTCCACAGATATTTTCCAGAATCCTCCTGTGAACTTTGTTACAGGAGGAGGCTATCTGGGCCTGTGTTTCAAATAATTGCTAAGGGTGGGGATAGCCCTCTATTTCCTGAGCCATAGTTTGTATTTCATCTTATGTCTTCTTTGTACTAACGAATCAGTATGTGGACTCCCTCAGAATAAACAGGAGAAGGTCACCCAGTAGTAAACTGCTTATGCGAGTGAGTATTATATGTCTTGTATTCTGTGTAGCTTTTCATAGGACATATAGTACATTTTCACAGTCTGCCTTAAAAAGTAAGCACAACCATCTTAAGTCTGTCACTTAGCAGAAATGAAGAAAGAACAGTGTCTTTTTAATCTAGTCAGTGGAAAAAACAACCTGTGCTGTCCTGGTAAATGATTAAATACCTCAGTCCCTGTATTGATTCCTTTCCACTGGGAACTAAACGACTGCATCAAGCCAGCTCATCAGTGTATTACTTTAACTGAGCAATAAACTAGCAATAACAATAAAAAATCCGCTTTTAAAAAGTGTATCCTCCAATGTGCCCCAATGTTTCTCTGCCTGAAGGAAAAGCACAGATAAGATTCTTAGTAAGATCACCTTTATCCTAAGATTTTCTTCAATATCTAGACAACACCAAGTGAATTAAAATCCAAAATAGAGATGTAACTCCAAATTTCCTGTGTTGCATTGTGTGCAGAGCCAGCCTTACAATACATGGATTGCCACCCATGCGGAAGCATTGCAGTCCTTGTACAGCTCTATAATACTGTTGGCAGCTCTACTTCAGTTTGCCTTAAACAATAATCTTCAAAGTGAATTTTCCATAGAGACTTTCCCTCCTCTTTTTTCATTACACCCTTTACAATATATAGAGAAGTCATCCAAGGCTATAGTTAAAGTTGTCAGTATTGTCACTATCACCCTCTTTTTTCTCTCCAGAGGTTGAACTCCTCTATAAACATTTTTTTAGGGGAGAAATGCCCTTTACAATTCAAGTTTCAGACTAAGAGCTATTTCTTGACCTAGTTTTCAAACATGAAATTAACATTTAAATGACGTTGTCAAATTGTTTCAGAAAGCTTATTCAAAAAGAAATTTGGTCAGCAATACATTTCTATTATGGTATATAAACACTTATTCCCTATATTTCCCCCCTCAAAAATACTAATATAATAAAAACAATCTACCGGACAATCATAGTAAAACAAATAATAATAAATGTACTGATTTTTTTGCTACAGATACCAGGCACAATATTTAGAAAAAAGACTGAAGTGGATTCAAATAAACTATTTTGAATTTGCAAGTGTATAATAGCATGTATGTGCATGACTGAGGTTGAAGCACTAGGCACCCATAAATAAACAAACATCAAACTAAAACAGAACAGAGCAAAATAAAAATTCACTTCTCACCCCCAAAGTTTTCTTGCTCTGGATTTCTGGATGCAAAGGACTTGTATAGTCTCTGTTTTAAAATCTTAAAAAATGTTTTGGTTGTATATAAAAGATAGTTTAATTCAGTGAGATGTGTACAGTATGTAATTCCACTCCTGTTTTATTACCCCAGTTCTTGTTATTCATACTTAACCCATGCTTTAAAAGACTGGAAATAAGAGTAAGCTTGTCTTTTAATTTCCCTAATTTTATGATTGGTACTAATAGTTATGGGACAGTCAACTGGGAAAGGAAGATGCATAAAGTGACCATCCTTGAATAACATGCAACGAAGAGTCCTGTGGCACCTTATAGACTAACAGATGTATTGGAGGTTTCAGAGTAGCAGCCGTGTTAGTCTGTATCCGCAAAAAGAACAGGAGTACTTGTTGCACCTTAGAGACTAACAAATTTATTTGAGCATAAGCTTTCGTGTGCTACAGCCCACTTCTTCGGCTGCATAGAATGGAACACACAAAAAGAAGATATTTATACATACAGAGAACATGAAAAGGTGGAAGTAGCCATACCAACTGTAAGAGGCCAATCAATTGAGATGAGCTATCATCAGCAGGAGAAAAAAACCTTTTGAATTGATAATCGAGATGAGCCATAGAAGGTGTGAGGATACTTAACATGGGGAAATAGATTCAATTAGTGTAATGACCCAACCATTCCCAGTCTCTGTTTAGACCTAAGTTAATTGTATCTAATTTGCATATTAATTCAAGTTCAGCAGTCTCTCTTTGGAGTCTGTTTTGGAAATTTTTTTGTTGCAAAATTGCGACCTTCAAGTCTGTCACTGTGTGGTTAGAGAGGCTGAAGTGTTCTCCCACTGGTTTTTTAATGTTATGATTCCTGATGTCAGATTTGTGTCCATTTATTCTTTTGCATAGAGACTGTCCAGTTTGGCCAATGTATATGGCAGAGGGGCATTGCTGGCACATGATGGCATATATCACGTTGGTAGATGTGCAGGTGAACAAGCCCCTGATAGCGTGACTGATGTGGTTAGGTCCTATGATGGTGTCACTTGAATAGATATGTGGACACAGTTGGCATCGGGCTTTGTTACAAGGATAGGTTCCTGGGTTAGTGTTTATGTTGTATGGTGTGCGGTTGCTGGTGAGTATTTGCTTCAGGTTGGGGGGCTGTCTGTAAGTGAGGACTGGTCTGTCTCCCAAGATCTGTGAGAATGAGGGATAGGTTGTAGATCTTTGATGACACGCTGGTGAGGTTTTAGTTGGGGCTGAAGGTGATGGCTAGTGGCGTTCTGTTATTTTCTTTGTTGGGCCTGTCCTGTAGTAGGTGACTTCTGGGTACTCTTCTGGCTCTGTCAATCTGCTTTTTCACTTCAGTAGGTGGGTATTGTAGTTTTAAGAATGCTTGATAGAGATCTTGTAGGTGTTTGTCTCTGTCTGAGGGATTGGAGCAAATGCAGTTGTATCGTAGAGCTTGGCTGTAGACAATGGATCGTGTGGTGTGTCCTGGATGGAAGCTGGAGGCATGTAGGTAAGTATAGCGGTCAGTAGGTTTCCGGTATAGGGTGGTGTTTATGTGACCATCGCTTATTAGCACAGTAGTGTCTAGGAAATGGACCGCTTGTGTGGATTTGTCTAGGCTGAGATGTATTGGAGCATAAGCTTTCGTGGGTGAATACCCACTTCGTCAGACGCATGTAATGGAAATTTCTAGAGGCAGGTATAAATATGCAGGCAAGAATCAGTCTGGAGATAACGAGGTTAGTTCAATTAGGGAGGGTGAGGCCCTCTTTTAGCAGTTGAGGTGTGAACACCAAGGGAGGAGAAACTGCTTTTGTAGTTGGCTAGCCATTCAGTCTTTGTTTAATCCTGAGCTGATGGTGTCAAATTTGCAAATGAACTGAAGCTCAGCAATTTCTCTTTGAAGTCTGGTCCTGAAGTTTTTTTGCTGTAGGATGGCTACCTTAAAATCTGCTATTGTGTGGTCAGGAAGGTTGAAGTGTTCTCTTACAGGTTTTTGTATATTGCCATTTGTAATATCTGACTTGTGTCCATTTATCCTTATGATACTTGAATAACATGTTACTTGTAAGATCGAGATTGAAGGATCAGGGGGAGATAACCCTTAGCACTGAGAGTTTTATAAAAACGAACAGGGCAGTGATTTTCAAAATGTTTTTCTAGTTTCAACCACTTCAGAAAACAATCTTCTTGGAGACCCACTTTTCCTACTCCCAATTCCACACCTTCCCTGAAGCAACTACAGGAGCTGGCCGGGCTACATAAAAAAGGAATTTCGCAACAGTACTAGTGAGATAAGATTAAACTTGCTGCAGTGCAATGGGTGTTGCAAGTATGCAATTTCTTTGTTCTCCCTGGTTACAGGCGCTGCTGTTTGTCAGCACTGAATTTCTCCTCTTTGCCTACAACCCCCAGCCCCAGCGCTGTGTCCTATCCCGTTGGCTTTATGCTGGTCATGTAGCAGCCTAGTGACTTTGGGGCCAGCAGCGCCAGGAGAGGCGTCCGTCTGGAGAGTTTCTGTTCCCTGTGTGGGTTACACCCACACGGCCCCCCATATCCTCTGGGGTCCTCTAGCTGGGCGACAGTTAGCAGGGGGCAGCGTCCGGAAGCCATGGGCACTGAGAGAACTGGACAGGTGGCTAGGGTGACCAGATGTCCCAATTTTATAGGGACAGTTCCGATTTTGGGGTCTTTTTCTTATATAGGCTCCTATTACACCCCCCGTCCCGATTTTTCACATTTGCTGTCTGGTCACCCTAGGGGCGGCTAAGTGTCTGCCCTGCTCCCCTTCACGGGAGCGGCGGCCAGGCTCCAGGACCCTGCCCACTGGGGCCTGGGAATAGGCTGGATCTGAACCCACTGCCCCGGGCCGGTTCCGTGCCCCCGCCCGCCACCCCCAGCTTAGCTTTCCCTCAGAGTAAGAGTCGCGCGCCGCTGTGCCCGCTTCCAATTAGCTCGCTTGCCTGAGACAGTCGGCTGGGCCTGGGCCAATCCCTTGGCCGGGCGCTGTCTCGTTAAATTCCGCCCGGCAGCTGCGGTCGTAGGGGGTGGGGCTTGCTGACGGCAGGGAGGAGAGTGACGCGGGAGCGCTTGGGGCCGAGAGTTCGCGGCAGTGGGCGCGAGCGCGAGCCGGGTCCTAAGGTCGCGCGGGCGAGAGTGTACTTGCCCGGGCGGCCGCGTGAGGTGTGTGGCGCGCGCTGCGCCGCGCCGGCCGGCCGGCCGGCCAGCCCCGCGTTCCATCGGGGGCGGGGTGGCCGCTCTCCCCCCAGCAGCAGCAAGGAGCATGTCCTCGAGTAGGGCCAAGAAAGTGAAGATGGCCACCAAGTCCTGCCCGGAGTGCGACCAGCAGGTGAGACTGCCGCTGGGCAAGGGGCAGCCCCCCTGGGGAGAAGCCCCCGTTCAGCCCCCCCGTAAGGGAGAAGCCCTCACACTGCTCCTTTCCTTACCCCCAAAGCTCTGCAACATCCTGCATGTCTCTCAGGCCAGGGGTTGGTAGGGGAAAGGAGTTTCACTTTTGCAATCCCTGCTCGCCTCCATTATTTAATAAAACGCCCTTCAGAACAGATGCGTTTATAACTACAGCACTTTAGGGTTTGCAAGGTTGTTTTGGGAAGGGGCATATTACTTTGCTATTTATCTGGCGTGTTGTGCTCTGGGAGCTGAGAAAAGTGGCTCTGAGGAGAGCTGGGGGAGAGAGTGAGGTTGGGGAACAGGGATTTTTAAAATAACCCAGAACTCTTTTTTTTGCACTTTGCATCCACTTACAAAATGGGATTCTGTTTTTCTGATGAGGTGCAAGTCACTCAGCATGAAAAAGTTAGTAACACAGTGCAGCTTAGGTGGTGGGAAAAGGGATTCTGATACCACAAGAACCTGGTTCACCTTTCTTAACGAAAGTCTTATTTATTCAGTAATTGCTTCTAATCTCATAATTCATCATCATTCATTAATCCCATTGAAAGTCTGTTTTGCCCTCTCCTTGCATGGCAGAGGCATGTTCAATGTACTTATCCTGACTGACCTCTTACCTAGTTGGACTGGGTTCAGAAGGTCACAGCCTTTTTCCACACGCTGCTTCCACTCGCCTTAAGACTGGTCGCTTTGTGTGATGTGTTCCACAACAAGGACTTCCTTACTGAACATAATGTTTTTAAATGCTCTCTGTTGCTTCTGTCCACTCTCCAGTTCTTGATAGCTAGAGTAGTTCTCTCTTAACTTTCTGAGTTACAACGTTGACTAGATGTTGAACCTTTGCAAGGTTAATTCAGGAAGTTTCTCTGTGGCCCAGATGCATTCAGTTGTGAAAAAGATGAGCTAGCTTCCTGAGTTTAAAATAAAGTCACTTCTAAACGGTGCTTAATTCTTAGCCAGTGTTTAAGTGCAATATGGCCGTTGCCTTTCTAGTCTTTATGTGGAATCCCATCTGAATGTTTTGAAATATTTATTAGCATTATAGAGTTGTATTATGCAGAAGACTTTTGTGAAGAATATAGAATTATTTATACTTAATAAATTGTTTAAAAGTTACTAATATCTTAACTGTACAAATACAACTTTGCCCTTGGATGATTAATACTGTACTCTCAAATATGTAATACTGATTCAGTAGTTTTCTCTCCCTTAGCTGCAGTTTATCAGCTTGAGACCTTAATCAAAAGGACTTCTAGTGTAGCGTGACTCAAATCTGTAGGGAGTTTTGTGAGCTACTGCTGCACAGGTTGATCAACTGTTACTGGTGTATTGCCCCGTGGATGAACTGTATTGCAACAACATTAAAAATTACATAGCAAAAAATGATAAAATTGGATTATTACCATTTTATTTCAAACTAACTTGTCCTTATTTATGCTATTTACCATTTACATAGCACTAATTTTGAACAATGAAAATGTCTAGTCAGTTTCACTCTTTCCTAATATACTGGGACAATGGTACAGCTCTACAAGAGAATGTTTAAATTAGAAACATTATTAGAAAATATTATTTTATTTCATATTAGATCCTATAAAACTCTAACAAATTTATTTTTTAGGCCTGTATTATCAGACAGTGTCCTATTTTTCCTTATGAAAATAACTATCAAACAATATAAAATTTCTTTTAACTGTTGATTTGCTTACTCATGACTGGCTTCTACTTTCAATAGACTTATATTAGCTTAAAGGCATTTCTGTTCATCCTCAAGACTTGTTTGGAAGGCTAGGCTTTTTGGGATATGCTTTCATATTTATATCTTGACTTTAGTAAAGCTTTTGATACTGTCTCTCATGACCATCTCGTAAACAAACTAGGGAAATGCAGCCTAGATGGAGCTCCTATAAGGTGGGTGCAAAACTGGTTGGAAAACCGTTCCCAGAGAATAGTTATCAGTGGGTCAAAGTCATGCTGGAAGGGCATAACAAGTGGGGTCCCACAGGGATCAGTTCTGGGTCTGGTTCTGTTCAATATCTTCATCAATGATTTAGATAATGGCATAGAAAGCATAGTTACAAAGTTTGCGGACGATACCAAGATGGGAGGGGCTGTAAGTGTTTTGAATTTTAATTCTATCCTCCAAAATGATCTGGACAAACTGGAGAAATGGTCTGAAGTAAATAGGATGAAATTCAATAAGGATAAATGCAAAGTACTCCATTTAGGAAGGAACAATCAGTTGCACACATATAAAATGGGAAATGACTGCCTAGGAAGGGGTGCTATGGAAAGGGATCGGGGGCCATAGTGGACCACAAGCCAAATATGAGTCAACAGTGTAACACTGTTGCAAAAAAAAAAAAGCGATCATTCTGGGATGTATTAGCAGAAGTTTTGTAAGCAAGACACGAGAAGTAATTCTTCTGCTCTACTCCATGCTGATTAGGCCTCAACTAAAGTATTGTGTCCAGTTCTGGGTGCCACATTTCAGGAAAGATGTGGACAAATTGGAGAAAGTCCAGAGAAGAGCAACACAAATGATTAAAGGTTTAGAAAACATGACCTATGAAGGAAGATTGAAAAAATTGGGCTTGTTTAGTCTGGAAAAGAGAAGACTGAGATAAAAGTTTTCAGGTCCCTTCCAGTCCTATGGTTCTATGAGTCATGAGGCGATATCGCCTCTCAACTGAAATACTTCTCTGATGGATTATATCTACTAAAGGACAACCTATGCTAAATGCTCAATTACTGAGGGACAGTCTACACTGATGCCTATATTTGCCTTCTACAGTCAACTCTGTATAACTTTTCATGAGTGATATACCTGAATATTTGGAGTCTAATATCTAAACTCTATCGTTAAATGTATTCACCTAAACTTGGGTTACTGCTGATTTATACTGTATTTATTTTCTGATTTTTAAACCAGATTTTGTACTAATTTAAGCACTACACCCAGATGTACAGACACCATTTCCTTAACCTGTGTATTATGTAATTTTAACATTAGCTTTAATAAAAAAAAATTTAATATGAGCATTGCTTGCAAATGCTGACATGTTGAACTTGTCATTAAATTTTGTTTCTGGAAGAAGCAAGTAACATGCTCAGTTCTCATCCTGGGTGATAAAAGAAGAAATTAAAATGAATAAAGGTATTTCAGTGTAGGACCTTCTTGCAATCTAATATTGTTGGGGGCTTATGATGCTATAAGAGCAAGTAAGTAATTTGTTTTGTTTTTAAAAAAGTGCTGCTAATCTAATTTCGTTCTGCTCTTTCAGCCCAAAGTAAATGGTATGCATGTGTCTGAATAGAATTTCCGTGCTAGGCCCTTCCTGCTGCTAGCATGGAATTACATGCATATGTAATTCTGTCCCAGCCCAAAGGCTGCTAGTGTGGCCTGATTGTTTCTCAATGCCCCGGAACCCTTGTGCCAAATCTTGGCACACAGTAGAAGAAATTAAATTCTTGCCTTAGCACTAATGGAACCCACAGCTTTATATATAAGTGGCTAAGTTATATATTCCCCAGAATAGTCACCCACGGCTATCTGTCAGTCCTTCCGTAGAGGAAGTTCTCATGTTGGGGTGTTGGTGGGCAGTCAGGCTGTGCTGCTAGTTTTCAACTACTCTCAGAACAGGGGTATTGAGGAACATTCCCAGAATTCTGTGCTGCCAGTAATGTGTGTGTGGAACTTTCATGGAAATAGTTAAATTCAAACTCTTGAGGCGATTTAGTATATTGACTGCATACACCTTAAGTGTAAGAGCTCACTTAGAACCACTCACCATATGTGGTGTTAAAACAAAGTAAAACCCATATAGTGGAGTAAATCAAGGAGCCCAAGGCAAATGGTGTTAATAGGATGAAACAAAGAACAGATTAATTTTTAATAGTGGTTGTGCAAATGAATTAAATGAAAATTTGGCGTAGAATAGTAGGTAGGGTATGGTCCTGCAAAATCTGACTATTATTGTGGGATAGCTTCACTATGTATTAGTAAGCATTCACAGCATTTTAACCCGTATTTCGCACTTTTCTTTCAAAGATTTTGGAGCCCAGCATTTCTCTGAAAAGCATCTATGTAAAAATTCAACCTGTACTTATATTCAAAATCACCTAGTATCATTTTCCCTTTAAGCTCTCCTCCCCCCAACCCCCCAAAAAATAGTCTTTTAGGCAGAGACTAAGTCTGAAAAGGTGAATATCGGAGAGATTGGAGTGATCAAAAGCAGAGTAGAACGGAAATCTTGTGCTGCCTTAACTATAACTTCAGATATCAATCATTCAGCTATATCTAAAAATAAATGTATTATTTTGATTCTTTGTCTGACAACTGTGCTGCAATACCATCAGCTTATTAAATGCAAACACAGTCTCTGGTAGGTTAGTCAAATTTTGGGGTGGGCCAAACCTTGTGTAGAAAAAGTCTTACCATTAAAATTAAATCATCAGTCTAAAAATCACACTTGGTCTGAATTTTTTTGCCTATTTCTCTTAATTGTGACACTTAAGATTACTATAATTGAACAATTGCATAAAATTTAAAAATAATTTCTATATTTGGCAGCATTTTCAATATGGTCAGTATATCTCTTGTGTAATCAGTTTCCTTTTGTTTGTGTGTGTCTTTTATGCAATAATTTGGGAGAGACATTTTTGTAAAAATGATTGGAAATTTACAAAAATTGGCAGAGGTATTGGTGGTAGAAGCAGCAACTGAAACTACTGAACTCTTCTGAAATTGTTTGGGTTTCAAGTTGTCCATTTTACCACTCTTTGGAAGTATAACAGATAGAAACAATAGAAAAAAATTCAAATTTTCAATAGCCATCTGATTCTGCCTTCTCAAAACTTGGTTACATGTGCAAAACAACAATTATAGCCGTGTATATCATAATATCAAAGACTTGGTGAAAGCAAGTTTTGAGAATT